GTAAATTGACCAAGGAACAATTAAGCCTGTCCCTTTGAACAACTGTGTCATCCAAGAGCCAAGACACAAACCTTTATTCAGCCCACCCTTGACAAGAGCCAGAATGCCTGGAGCACAGGTGAGATTAACCTCTCTAGTCATATACCAAGCAAACCTCCAACTTCCAGACTCAGTAATAAGATAATGAGGTGTAGATTAAACATAGGCAGAACCATGGTGAATCCCAAAGTCTGAAAAAAATCACTCTAAAAAAAGGTCTTGTCAAGTTTTCCTGGTGAACTAGACCTTGACAAAACAAATCCCACCTGGAAGATACAGGAAGCATTCAAATGAAATTTAACAATTCTAAACACCACAGCTGCGAGGTCTAGGATGGAGCCATTAAGATGGCTATGGCAAGAGGCCTTGCAGCCCTTTGCAGAAACCTGCCCACAGCTGAGAGAGGGCATCAGCTCTAAGGGCCAGAAAGTCCCTGGAGCTGACATAGTAGTCCCTGATCTCTGCTCTCCCAGGCAATCACCAGGTCTACTTGAGAGTGCTCCATTTCATGCAGATCTCCTAAAGAAGTTCCACTCTCCAGAGCAAATTTGATAGATTTGGTGTTCAGGTCCCCAGTAATATGAATCAGTGAGAGGGAGATAAGGATTTTTTTCCCCCAGTTCACAGAATGCAGAACTCAGTCATTGTGCCTCTGCTCTGTCTTCCCTACAACTCAGTGGTCCAAAATATCAGATTGACCCACATGTGGGAATACCTTTACAGCCACTGGGAGAAGGCTGCTATGGGTTCCTCCCCTTCTCCCATGACTCCTTTAGGTAGAGAAACATCTACAGGTAAAGCCTCTCCAACACCTGCCCCAAGACAGAAGGCTCAAGACTTAGCAAATATACTGAAATCTGGGCCTGAGAAAGTTGGTCTGTTCCCTTATTATCCCAGCAAGAACTTTAAGAGATTCAATTCCCAAAGTACTGACCCCAAAAGGAAATATTAGGCTCTAGAAGAAAGACCTGGGTGTTGTCCTTTATCAGTTATACTTCTAATGAAGAGTATGTTACCTGGGTGAAGTAGATGCTAGTTCAGCCCCATTTTAGGTAGAGGAGGACTTTTGTGCCTGCCTCTAAGAAAGCTAGGAACTCTGTACTGATACACAGGTAGTGTTTTCTTGAATATGGGTGGCATAGTATACTTCTGCTTCGTGATCAGAAAAAAAATAGCACCTGTTGTACCAAAAGGGAAATAAGCTCCCTTTGTGTGCCATATCTTCACCTGTACCAAAACCTCTTCTGTTTAATTAAACTGTAGTTATGGGATTGATGCAGAATTTTCCGAGTGAGGTTCTTTGGCTTGTGTTATGCAGGAGGTCAGACTAGATCATAGTGGTCTGTTCTGGTGTTAAAAAAAAATCTATGATTCAAACATGAACTCCAGGATTGAAGTATGTCATACAGATGAAAGTGTGATTTGAATGAAAAGGGAAGCAGAGATCATCACTGTACCACAGTGACTGTCCATAAACTCTAATGTGGTGGAAGTGATTGGCTTGGCTCTGCAGAAACACCATAAGGAAAGGCTCCAAATGTTTTTGGTAAGAGACGTGGGAAAATGGGGCTTGTAAACTCGTGAGACAATTCCTGCGTCTTTTGTTAATATGACATGACTAGTCATTAGGCCACCCACAAAGAGATAGCTCCATATGGAGATGTGGTAGATAGATAAAAACAAACCAGTTATCTAAAAAGAAAACCCATTAAAATAGCCATGTGAAGAGTGAGAAGAGGATAAAAAAAAAGAAAAAGAAAAAGCTAATTAAAAGCTTTACTGTGTCAGACTGAGTCATTTATATTTGCTACAACAGGAAGTAACCTGTATTTCTCAGCTGATACTGACACACTTACAGGGTGCCGACAGCATAAATTTTACTGGAATTTCTTATTTCTATCTACTGGTATGGGGCTATATACTGTACTTAGTGACCACACTAACCTAGGGAACACAGAAGAAAACACTGTTTCGAACAGCTTTGAATAAACTAATAATAACTTTAGATTATAAAAAAGAAAATTTTGCAGGCCAGTCAATAATGAAGATTAGTTTTTAAATCAATCTTAAGATAATGGAACATTTAAAAAGAAAATCCAACGCTTGCATCCTACAGTTTCTATGGATAGGCCTGCTCTTAGACTAAATTCCAAGAACTTAAGCATTACTTGCTACACTGAGAGCTCAGTCCTGCCTTTATCCTAAACTTTGTACAAAGAGCGGTTGTGTATGGATATATACAATATTTAATTTTTTTAGATACATCTGGAATATTTAATGACATGAACCAGTGGATGAAAATTCTCAACAGCATATAGCCTTCTTAGCAGAATTTCACATCCAAAGAGCATTAAAAAAAACAACTGTCACATGGTGCAAATTTGCTGCAATTTACCATCACAAGCAACCCTGCCAAACTTAATAGGGAAGGCACTGACAAGACCAAAGGGCTCACATCCAAAAGAATGAGGTTGTCAATCAGGACCTCAAGTTTTTGCTTTTATTTTTACATTTGTTTTTAAACACAGTTAAAGGCATCTAAAGCGCCTGATACCTTTTTGTCTATTATAAATCTAAATAAAAAACTGATGGCCGTGGGAGAGAATCTTTATAGTTGCAAAGGTAACCTTCGGAAAGTGAATCAATGCACCACTTCCAGAGCCTGCAGACATCCACTAAGGCCTAAGTCTACACTTAAAATTTAAGTATCAGAGGGGTAGCCGTGTTAGTCTGGATGTGTAAAAAGCGACAAAGAGTCCTGTGGCACCTTATAGACTAATAGACGTATCGGAGCATAAGCTTTCGTGGGTGAATACCCACTTCGTCAGATGCATGTGGGTATTCACCCACGAAAGCTTATGCTCCAATACGTCTGTTAGTCTATAAGGTGCCACAGGACTCTTTGCCACTTAAAATTTAGGTTGTCATAGCTACAGTGCTCAGGGCTGTGAAAAATCCATACCTCTGACCACTGTAGCTATGCTGACCTAACCCCTTGTGTAGACAAAGCTAGGTCAATCCAAGAATATTTCTGTTGATCTAGCTATTGTTGCTCAGGGAGGAAGTATTCCTACAGCGACACAATAAAACCCTTCCATCACTGTATACTGTCTCTACACTATGGGGTTATACTAGAATAGGTTATTTTGAACTCTACTCCTGTCCTTTGAGGGTTTGCAACCCCTCCCATCTTGGTGTCATCTGCAAATTTTATAAGTAGGGCTGTCAATTAATCTCAGTTAACTCACGCGATTAACTCAAAAAAAATTAATCGCGATTAATCGCAGTTTTAATTGCCCTGTTAAATAAGAGACTACCAATTGAAATGTATTAAGTATTTTGGATGCTTTTCTACATTTTCATATGTATCTTGTATTCTGTGTTGTAATTGAAATCAAAGTGTATATTTTGATTACAAATATTTGCACTGTAAAAATGATGAACAAAAGAAACAGTATTTTTCAATTCACCTCATACAAGTACTGTAGTGCAATCTCTTTGTCCTGAAAGTGCAACTTACAAATGTAGAATTTTTTGTTATATAGCTGCACTCAAAAACAAAACAATGTAAAATTTTAGAGTCTACAAGTCCACTCAGTCCTACTTCTTTTTCAGCCAATCGCTAAGACAAATAAGTTTGTTTACATTTATAGGAGATATTGCAGCCTGCTTCTCACTTTCAGGTGACATTGTAAATAAGAACAGGCATTTGCAGGGCACTTTTGTAGCCAACATTGCAAGATATTTGTGTGTCTGATATGCTAAACATTCGTATGCCCCTTCATGCTTCGGCCACCATTCCAGAGGACATGCTTCCATGCTGATGACGCTTGTTAAAAAATAATGCGTTAATTAAATGAGTGACTAAACTCCTTGGGGGAGAATTGTATGTCTCCTGCTTTGTTTTCCCTGCATTCTGCCATATATTTCATGTTATAGCAGTCTTGGATGATGATAGGGTGACCAGATGTCCCGATTTTATAGGGACAGTCCTGATTTTTGGGTCTTTTTCTTATATAGGCTCCTATTACCCCCCACTCCCTTGTCCCGATTTTTCACACTTGCTGTCTGGTCACCCTAGATGATGACCCAGACATGTTGTTCATTTTAAGAATACTTTCACTTCAGATTTCACAAAACATAAAGAAGCACTCGACCCAAGATTTCAGAATGTGAAGTGCCTTCCAAAATCTGAGAGACACAAGGTAGGGAGCATGCTTTGAGAAGTCTTAAAGGAGCAACACTCCGATGCAGAAACTACAGAACCCAAACCACCAAAAAAGAAAATCAACCTTCTGCTGGTAGCATCTGACTCAGAAAATGAAAATGAACATGCATCGGTTCGCACTGGTTTGGATGTTTTTTGAGCAGAACCCGTCATCAACATGTCCGCTGGAATGGTGGTTGAAGTATGTGCATCTGGCACGTAAATATCTTGCGATGCTGGCTACAACAGTGCCATGAGAACACCTATTCTCACTTTCAGGTCACACTGTAAACAAGAAGTGGACAGCATTATTTCCTGCAAATGTAAACAAACTTGTTTGTCTGGGACCTGGTCTACGCTAGGAGGTTATGTCGAATTTAGCAGCGTTAAATCGAATTAACCCTGCACCCATCCACACAACGAAGCTATTTAGTTCGACAGGTCTCTTAAATTCCATTTCTGTACTCCTCCCCAACGAGGGGAGTAGCGCTAAATTCGACATGGCCATGTCGAATTAGGGTAGGTGTGGATGGAAATCGACGCTAATAGCTCCGGGAGCTATCCCACAGTGTACCACTCTGTTGACGCTCTGGACAGCAGTCCGAGCTCCGATGGTCTGATTAGCCACACAGGAAAAGCCCCGGGAAAATTTGAATTCCTTTTCCTGTCTGGGCAGTTTGAATCTCATTTCCTGTTTGGACATCGTGGCGAGCTCAGCAGCACTGGCAACGATGCAGAGTTCTCCAGCAGAGGTGACCATGCAATCTCAGAATAGGAAGAGTGCCCCAGCATGGACTGATCGGGAAGTCTTGGATCTGATCGCTGTGTGGGGCGATGAGTCCGTGCTTTTGGAGCTGCGATCGAAAAGTCTCCTTTCTCCTCAGACTAGATAAATTGGGGTATCAGAAAACTGCTCAATTCCTTTTTTCTTTTGTGCCACATACACAAGTATATCCATTGCTGTAATTCTGATTGTGGTACCTTTCCTATTTATTGGTACAGATTTAGGTAAATGTCTTCTGTAATATATTTTAAATATATTGGTTCCTCTTTTGCATTTAAGCCAACTAAAACAGCAAGTGGCTTGTAATATACTCTTTCTTTAGGTATTCCAAGAAGTCAGATATTATGCAAACTAAACTTGTGTTTGATAAGTTTTGCTCTGTCTCAAAGCACTATGATTTTTAATAAATGGTGTGCAAGACTTCATGCATTTTAGAACATAAACCTTTAACTGTTGAGCTTTAGACTGATTCCAGTTGCTTAGAAACCCTCACAATAAGATGTTGGCTGCAGAGCTTTGTCAGATACTTAAGCTGCATGATGGTATCTTGTCTGTATGACAGTGGCATGAAAAAAATATTTGGTAAGAGGGACAATACCTAAAGGAAAATAAAGCTGATAAAACTCATCATAGTTGAATAAAACCTCCGAAGCCAGTGGGGAAGGCAAGAACCAGATACTCAAATTAAAACCAAGGAAAGAATGAACAAACCTCTCCGCCAAGATTGAAAACTGTTTTTGCTTCTATTCTTGTCCGTCTTCACTCTCCTTCCCCTTAAGCTATTTTTACTATGAAAAAGTGTCTCTTAACATCCACGCCAATTTCAAAGTGATACACAATTAAAATGTCTGGAAGAAGTGACTACTTTCTCCCAAATACTGTGCATATAGCAAAAGAGATGATGACAATATTATTACATTGATGAATATACAATAAATGTTTTGTTAGCCCTTATGTTAGCTGGTTTTACCAAGCTGTCGTCTGCTCCATGGATAAATTCCTTTAGTATCTGTTGGACAAAGACTTACAAATTTATTGAATACCAAAGGTTTGATTCTACTTATAAACTAGGTAAACACCCTTGACTTGACAAAAGTCATAAGGAAACAGCAGGTGAGAAAAGATATATTTACAGTACTGCATCAGGCAGTGAGTAAAGAATACCAGTTGTTATACTGACAACAACAGCAAGGTATGGGTTGGGATGAACTGTCAAACAGAGTCTTGTTAAGAGAACAGTAAAAAAAACGATACTGAATGCTGATATCTACTTACTAACTTGGAGCTGATCCTACGTATTGTGCCAAATTGGATCAAAATAAAAAGTGATATCAAAGCAGGCCTACTTTAGCGTCAGCCTACATATTTCACCTTTGTGTAAAGTTTTTGTTCAGGATAGTGGGGTTTCCAAGGTTTTGCCTCCACTCTGGGATTAATAGAGCAGCAAAAGTTTAGTTAGTGCTGAACAAAACAAGGAAGACAATGTGGTATTCACGCCAGAGCAGCTTACAGTCTAAGTATCACCTTTAATACTAGTTATAGGTTTGTGTTAATTTTTCTAAGGACCTTCTTGCCGTGTGTACCTATACACTGAATTTATTTAAATTCATAGAGTAGATATGATGTCAAACGTGGTAGGAAACCTAGCTAATTTACCTCACCCAAGGCAGTAATAAAGAAAAGATTAAATGTGGGGGAGGAGGCAAAGAAATCATTAAGTGAACTTTATTATAGTCATTATTTGCAACTTGTGACTAGTATATTATTGAAAGCACATGAATCAAGCTTCTCTTCTTGGTTTTCATACTCACCTAAACCTTTTTGTCCAGGGTTTTTAGCAAAGGTAAAGGTAAACTGATAAAAATCTTTGAACTTTATCGGATCCTTTAGCTCTTGTTCCAATCTTGGCAATAGAGCTTTTAGCTTGTCTGTGGTGTCACACCTGCCGCAGAAGAGATGACAATATTTGTTTATAAAGCATACATAAACCATTTTAGAAAATAAGTTTATAAATATTTATTACAAACCCACAAATGAGTAACATTATTGTAAGATTCAACTACAAAGTATCACTTTGGTTTACTTTACTAAACATTTAAGGGCCCTAAGCAGAAACAAGGTTATATACAAGCACCAAAAGTATACAGACGAGTAAGATTGAGCCATTTAGTTCAGGGACTTTTTTTCCCCCACAGATTTCAACAGCAGAATGGACCATCATCATCTAGTTTGACCTCCTGCAAAATAGTGCAGAGATTCTTGTATCCAGCCCAGAACTGCTGGTTGAGCTAAGAGCACAGCTTTTAGAAAGATGTACCATCTTCGTTTTAAAGACTCCAAGTGAGGGAGAATCTCCCACATCCCTAGGTAAGTTGTTTCAATGGTTGATTACCCTGACTGTAAAAATTTTACACCTTATTTCTAGTCTGAACTTGTCTAGCTTCAGCTTCAAGCCACTGGGGATCTCAAAATGCCTTGAAGGGTGATGTAATGTATGGGAATAAGTAACAGCTTCCCCAACTGTGTTGCTGTGGATATCGTAAGTTACAAGTTGCAGTTTATTTTATTTCTTGGTTGTTGTTAATACTTAAGACTACTTTTGTGAGCATGTTTGTTTGTGCATTAGTGTGAATTGACGGGTATGCGAATGTGTGCGTGTGCGCACACCTCAGACTGCAGATTAGAGCTGATCAAAAAACTTTAATTGGTTGAGCTGATGGACTAATGAACGTGCTTCTATCTTAAACAGACCACCAGAATCAAGTAAAATTTAAATACAACTAATTGCAATCCTATTGAACTGTAATGTACTGTTTCTTTATTACTTTTATTGCTGTTACACAAAATTTGAGGCTTTTTAAATTTATGAAACCACCCACCGTAGTCTAAGTACACCATATGGGAATCTGTACTACATGTTAAGCTTGTGACCAATGATAACTTTAGAAGACTTTTCAACCACTAAACTGTATCATCCACAGTGTCACGTTCCTTAATCAAAAGCCAGGAAAAAGATGAGTCCTCCACCATGACTTGAATGCCGACGGATTGGCAGACCAAGGTGGAAGCAAATTTCAGAACTGAGACCCTTCTGCTTAAAGACAATAATATTGAGGCATTGCCAGCTAAATTACCCAATTTGACCTCAGCTGACTCAGCGTCATATGGGAAGAATAATGGTTTCTCAGGTAGCGAGGACACAAACCAAAAGACAGATTTACTGGATGTAGCCAATACTATGAATTGAATCTGGAAACAAATGAAGAACAACAGAGGAGTTGGAAGCACATCTTGAATGGGGGAGGGGGAAACAGAGGGATAGGAGAAGGAAGAGATCATCCCGGCTCCTATCTGCTCCCCAGCCCAATCCTGGGCACTGCTCCAGCCTATCTGGGTTCTGCTGTCACCTCTGCCTCCACATGCGTGCACACAATTACTACCTCTCCACTGATGGAGGTGTGCCCTGCCCCCAGCCATTGCTTGAGCTGAGGGGTTGGCCAGAATCTGATTGACTCTCAGCTCCCAAGCAATCAGCCAATAGGAAGGGAGCAGCTGCAGCTGGATTGCACTGGGCAGAGTCAGAGGGGAAGCAGAGCTGAGCAAGGATAGAAACATAGATAATTTCCCGCAACATTTCTATTGCGGGAACTGTTGTGATAATTTGGCCTACACATTTACCTTAATTGAGAACTCAATGTAAAAAGTACATGAGAGTTCAGAAGATGTCATGATAATTTATAACAACAAATGTTGATGGGAAAAGGTATGGAAGAGAGACAGAGAGAATTAGTCCAAACAAAAAGGCTACAGATATAACTCAAGGACTGTGTTAAGATTATTCTTGATAAACAAGAAAGTGTGGAACCAGAAATAAGTGAACCAAAATTGGTATGTCAGAAATTAGGTCTGACTGGTGGACAAAATGATGGGACAGGCTATATTGCCCATCGCTCCTTTTCTGGGTCCTTAAAGAACGAGACTATGTAGAGAAAAACACGCTACTAGAGCAAGCTTCATTACCATGGCTGCCACCCCTACCATCTTCTGAGGTCCTACGCTTTGTCATCCTGATCCTGAGAGATGTTCTGACCAGAGGAGGTCAGAGGGAGGGACCCAAATGACATTGGGATTCAGCTGGAGCCGGTAGAGCTGACAACCACCACCTGGGATGAAACAGGATCAGACTAACAACAGCTCCAGCTCATCTCAACTAACCTCTTCTCTTTCCCCCAAAAGGATAGTTATTACCATCTTTGATGCCTTCTTAGAGACTGTTAAACAACAGGGGTTTTCCTTCTAAAAGCTTTCTCCAGCTAAAGAGAAAGGGAACAAGAGATTCTGTTAAAACGAAAGCCTTATTTAATACTTTAGATTTAAAATGCTTGAACTGTTTTTCTTTTTTTCTTTTATCTTTAATAGAAAGTTTAAAGAATTTTTAATGGTGTGTTTGCCATGGTACTAAATAGGCTGTGGTCTATGTATAACAAACCCCAAATCTTGTTTAACACTGTTTAATGTTGGACAGTGACTGGGTTATGTTAACACCTTTGGCCAACATATTCTATATTACACAACAGGGCACTAGCCATCACTGCCTTTCACCTCCATGCCACACTCTTCCCGTGGTTCCACCTCCCCTTGGCAACAATATAGTTTTCAGAGAATTACCTTAATAAATTTATTCCAGCTAAAATTGCCAGCAGGCAGACAGCTTCATTTTTTTTTAATCAGCTGAAACTTCAAGAATAACTTTATTAGAGCACATTGATGAAATCTATTTTGAAGGTGAAAGACATGGGTAGTCATGGCAAAGATCACGTCTTGGAGAAATGGTCACAATTGCCTTATGTAGTGCAGCTAAAATAACATCTTTGACTTCCAATACACTCTGATAATGAGCAATCAGAGATTCAAACACTTCTTTACATCAAGAACTTCTTGTCTGAAGGGTAGGTCAACTCCCTAAATAATGGAGACAGGTGCCATACTCTAGAGACTTTCTGGCAGTATCGTTTTGTCTGGATCAAGCCTCAATCATTTTCCTTTCATCTAATTCCTAATCTATGCCTACTGTTAGGAAAGCAAAGAGACTGCAGCACCTGGGTTCAGCAAGAAAGGTGTCAAACCACCTACGATCAGCATATCAATGGCCAGACCATGAGACTATTGGTCACCTACACACACAGGGCCTCACATATGTGTTGGGCAGAATTCTGTCTAAAACAGCTCTCAGCGCAGAAGAGCAATACCACCAGGAAGAGGTGAAACTACTAAAAGTCTGCTGGCAGGTTTAAAAAGAATCAGCATGAACATCTACTGCTGCCCAATGTTAGATAATCAAGCAATTATCCTAACAGTCTCTAGCCAAAAGCAAGAATGAAAGGGATAAAATAAATAAGAGGACTTCATATGACAAAGTTTTTTCATTCCCTTTTTTCCATATCCATTCCTTACCCAAAAAGGAAAGCTTAGAAAGAGGTTAGGAATTGATGAGATCACAAGCAACAAATGGTTTCTTGAGCAGGGGCCTAATAAACACTTGTGTTTTACAGAAGTTGGCACCTTATTAGTATCTTCCTGCAGTACAACAATCTCAAACCAACCTAAATTTTATTAGCAACAAGAGAGATGGGGTCAAGTCACAGACCAAAGCTCTTCACGCACCTCTACAACAATCTGAATTAATGGAACTCAATGTGACCCTTCTGGGAGTGGATCAGTCAACATGAGAAGAATGTATTTGATACATCTTTTCCATGAAACAGGTGTGTGTGTGAGCTGTCAAGTGATTAATCATGCTGTTAAACAATAATATAATACCGTTTATTAAAATGTTTTTGCATGTTTTCTACATTTTCAAATATATTGATTTCAATTACAACACAGAATACAAAATGTTCAGTGTTCACTTTATATTTATTTTTATTTGAAATATTTGCACTAACAAAAATAAAATAGTATTTTTCGATTCAATTTTTCAAGTACCGTAGTGCAATCTTATCAGGAAAGTTGAACTTACAAATGTAGAATTATATACAGAAAATAACTGCATTAAAAAATAATACAATGTAAAACTTTAGAGCCTGGAAGTCCACTAAGTCCTACTTCAGACAATCGCTCAGACAAACAAGTTTGGTTACAATTTGCAGGAGATCATGCGGACCACTACTTGTTTAAAATGTCACCTGAAAGTGAGAACAGGTATTCGCATGGCACTGTTGTAGCCAGCGTCAGGGGCAGCTCTAGGCACCAGCAAAACAAGCAGGTGCTTGGGGCGGCAAATTACCAAGGGCGGCACAATGCTGGAGCCCCAGCTCCGACCTGAGACAGTGTCCTGGGCTGGATCCTAACCACCCTGTTGTTCCCTGACCGGGTGCCGCCGGGGCTGTGCGGCGGGGCAGGGGGAGCCAGCTCAGTGGGGAGTGTGTCCCTGTTGCTCTCCCACGGGCAGTGGCCAGCCCTCCTCAGCCAGGAGCTGGTAGCGTGGCCCTGCCCCGGTCGCGGAGCACAGGGGGTGGCGGTGGAACATGGTGGCCGGGTGGGCCGTTCCTCCAGCGCCGGCTGCGGGCTCCTCCTCAGCTTGTCCCCGCCTCCGCCTCCTCCTCCTCCCCCCTGCACCGCCTCCGGCCCGGGGATGGGAGCGGCAGCCTGGGCTGAGCTGAACTTCTGCTGCTGCTCAGGCCGAGCCCGCAGCTGGCTCGCAAGGTCCTGGGGAGCGGGAGGCCCGGGCACACTGCCCTGCAGTCACCAGCCACCGGCTGCTCTGCCTCGTACCCCGGCAGCCGAACCCCGCAGCAGCCCCAGCTCGCTACACGTGAGAGCTACAGGCAGTGCCCCCCGCTTCCCCCAGCCTGCTGGCTCTGTCCCCGGCCACGCCGCAGGGTGACCGCCCAGGACTCTGGGGTGTTGCTGAGGCTGCCCCAAGCCAGGCTTCCTGGGATC